GATGTGGGGCTCGATCCCAGGACCCTGGGATCATGACCTGAGCTGAAGGCAGAGGCTTTAACCCACTGAGCCACCCAGGCGCCCCCTTCAAGTACTTCTTCAAAGGTATTTTACAAATTTTTGTATGTTGTGTTTTCATTTTCATCCATACAATGTACTGTTTACTTCTTTTATTTCTTTTTTGACCTATGGATTATTTAGAACTATGTTAATGGGATTTCCAAATATCTGGGGACTTTCCGGAAATCTTTCTGTTATTGATTTCTAACTTCATTCCCCTGTGATCAGAGGACATGGGTTGTATTTAATTCTTTTCCCTTTACGGACACCTGCTTATGGCCACCATAATAAAGTTTCTTGTGCCTTTGAAAAGAATGTCCATTCTGTTTTGGCAGGTGGCGGCCATTAGGTCAAGTGAGCTGATGGTGTCCTTTCAGACCATCTACATCCTTACCGATATCTTGTCTCTGTGTCCTTTTTTTTTTTTTTTAAAGATTTTATTTATTTATTTGACAGACAGAGATCACAAGTTGGCAGAGAGAGAGAGAAAGTAGGAAGCAGGCTCCCTGCTGAGCAGAGAGCCTGATATGGGGCTTGATCCCAGGACCCTGGGATCATGACCTGAGCGGAAGGCAGAGGCTTTAGCCCACTGAGCCACCCAGGTGCCCCTCTGTGTTCTATCAGTGTATAAAATCAGCCATGGTGTGGGGGGTTTCTATCACAGAAGTTTACAAACACTACGAATTTGGTGGCCTTATTTTCCTCAGAGAGCCTGTGGCTAAACATTTGCCAGCAATGTCTCCCCCCGCCGCCCCCCAGACCCGGTGCTCTGTGTTTTGACAAGGTCCAAGGTAATTCTGATGCCCGCCCCCGAATGTCTCCACCAGATGCTTCCTGTGGACCCCATCCACGTTCTACTACTTTCTGTCACAAGAGGAATGGGAAAGCACACTGCTCCTGCTCCCCTGTCCCTCTCCCTGCCCCCACTCCCACCCAGTGCCTGAGCACAGCGCCAGGATCAAAGCCATGCTCTGGATGTGTGCGAGCAGGAGAGAGCTGGGTGGCCCAAAGACAGATCTGAAGTCCCCTTGCTGTGGTGGGAGCCACACAGAGATTCTCTGGGTGAGAGGAGAATGGTGGGTCCCAAAGTCACAGGCTGGCTCTCCACGACACCTTCTTGCACATAGTCAGCCCGCAGCTGCTACCACAGATGAGAGGCAAAGCTCTCCCGCATCGGACATTGCTGGGGCACCCCCGGCTTGCCCTTGCTAGCCTTGGGACCAGGAGCTGCTGGCTCCACCTTGCCAACCTCCCTCTGCTCCTCCAGGAAGAGGCCAATAGTAGTGCCTGCCCCAGGGGGCCTCCAGAGAGATGAAATCCAAGCATTTCAACCAAGATCCAGGATTCTAGAACGATTGCATAAACAGTGCTATTTCTGCTTTTCTATGTAGCTGGAGTAGAAAGTAATGTCCATGTCAACAGTGTTATTCCCATTTTATGAATGTCAGATTTCTAGACACAGAGGAAGAAAGCACAAGGCCCAGAATCACACACTTACAGAAACAATAAACACCAGAGGCCTCCCCCTTAGCCAGCGATGGATCTTGTCCACACCCTGCAAGAGCATGGCTCCCCATCCCGGGGCGGCACTCCTCATTTATTCCCAGTAGCTCCAGATTCCCTAGCAAGAAAGAAACGATAATTCAGTTACAACAATTACCAGCTGCTTCTCTGGTTTACTGCTATAATTTCTCTAAAGCAAGTCTGTCCACGTAGTGAAGACGCAGTCCTGCCTTTACGTTGCTTCTGTGAGAAAAGGTGTGTCCGTTGGTCCCAGCAGTGCCAGACACCAGCGGCCATGGAAAGGCTGGTTAAACCCAGGAACTGCCTGGAAAAGATGGTGTGAGGAGATGAGTGCTCCGTGAGCACAGGCAGGAGCTGGGAGCTGGGGGTGGTGACATGATCGGGCCCCTTTCCTGGGCAAATGCAGAGACAACAATGTTTTGCTATGTCCCAGGCTCTGCTCTAAGGACTTCCCAGGTATTCATTCATTCAATGCCCACAACAGCCCCCCAAAGTATTATGATCATTCCTACTTCATGAATAACAGAATTGTGAGGTTGCATAGAGGGCTTAAGCAATTTGTCTAAGGTCACACAGTGATTAAGTTCTGAGCCAGGATTTGAACCTGGACAGTTAGGCTGTAGGAATGGAGTTTAAAACAGGCTTCTCATGGAGGGAGCCAAAAATGTATAGTCAGAACCATCTGTGGTCTTAAATAAGCAAATTTGAACATGTACAAAATAAAGAAAAGCCTCTGCAGCCATCAGTCCTTCAGAGAGAAAGGGGGGTCCTGCCTGGCCCTGTGGGTTGGCCAAGGGCTGACATAAAGGTGGTTATGACAGCACTCCAGCTACAGCAGAACCCCCTGAACAGGAATCAGGTGTCTTGATGCCCCCGAGAAGTGGCAGTTACTGTGCCATTGTCCCGACGTGGAAGCTGAGGTTCAGAGAAGTTAAGTGGTGTGCCTGAGGTCACACAGCCTGGAAGTATAGAGCTGAGACTCAAACCTACAGCCCACGCTCTTTCCCTGCATCTCTTAGCCTGACTGCCCGATTCCAGTGTCAGAAAGTGGGGTGGGCCCCCCACCCTGTGTCACGTACATACACAGGTACCCCAGGCACAGGGCATGATCGGTGCTGGGTACCTCCTGTGTGGTAGCTGACTCCCACTGGACAAGAAATGAAATCCCACCCACCAGGAGGGGGTAGAGCTGGACTCTGATCTGTTGATCTGTTGATCCTCCTGTGTCAGCTGGGGGCCAGTTCCCTACAAGAAGCCCGCCTTCCTGTCCCTGACCCTCAACAGCCTAAAACTCAGGCCCCAGGAAGGCTACAGATGGGTGCACTGGAACGGGCAGCGAGATGGTGTGGATGATGGGGGCCGTCTTCCCTGCTCCAGATTTGCATTTCTGTGCCTTAACCAGGGAGTAACGTTTCCAGGCAGTCCCAGCCCTGCCTGTGGGCAGAGCTCTTACCACCGTGTGTGTAAACCCTAGCGCCCACCCGACTCCACCAGGTGCCCCAGACGGGCTCCTCAAGGTACCCAGTCTGCCTAGCCAGGGCCTGGAGGGCCACGCCCCGAACCCCGCGGCCCCACCCTCTCTCTCCAGAAGCCCTTTCCTCGCCATCTCATGCCTCCTGTGTTTGTGTCTGTCTCTTCATTTTAGGGATTTATTTCTCTACAAGGGACCCGGGTGACCGAACTTCTTCCTGGCCCTGAGGACACAGGGAAGCACCTCTTTGAGATCAGCCCAGGTAGGCCCGAGTATCTTTCGGCTCTGTGCAGGGGGCTGGTGGTGGTGACCCCAATGGGGGGCGTCACTGTGCCCCTGACCCAGAAGGGCACACCTCCTTCAGGACGACTCAGAAATTTGGGCCGAATCTAGGGACTATTGCAAATTTGGGTGAGTATTAGAAAATCCAGCCAACTAAGAAATTAGCTTTTGGGTGAGAGGAAAATGTGGATTTTAAAGTTCACAAGAAACATGAGAGAAACCAGTCCATGGGGACCTCTTAGGGCAAAGGTCCAAACACAGCATCTGGATCACAGGCAGAGAAGTCCAGGGAAACCCACCAGCCCGGGGGCAGAGAGTTCAAGTGAGCTCTTTGGTGCATCTCAAAACAGAGAACGGCGACATGGTGGGAGGAAGGGAAATATTTTAACCCAAGGAACTGTGTCATATTAGCAGTTACAAAACCATCTTTTAAAAATTCCCACTTTTAAAATGTGATTGTTGTGGAACTAAACAGATGTGTCTTGAAGATGAGTCAATCTGCTTCTAGAAGGGCTGCTTCCACAGGTGCTGTTTTCCTACCTAGGCTTCCCCCAGACGCAGAGTCTGAGACAAGGCTCTGAGCCGTTTATTCAGAGGGGATTCCCAAAAAAGTAGGGGGAAGGGAGCAGGGAGGGAGGAAAGCCATGTGGGGTGTGCTAGTGAGCTGACTGTTGCTGGGAACGGGGGTTCGATTCCAGCAGGGGTGGTGGAGACTATGGGAGCAGGCTGCAGAGGGTCCCGCCCATGGAGCGAGGAGGCTGGGGGTCACCCGCCTGCTTCCACCTTCCCACTGTTAATTCCACCAGCTGTTTCCTGGGAGCTAACTTGGCACCTCTGGCCTGCCTGAGGCACAGCTGAGCTCTCTACAGACAGAGAAGGCTTGAGCCCATCACAGGAGGTGGAGTGAGGAAGCCACCCTCAAGGATGGGAACAGTGAGCCCTGGGGCTCTGGCCAGGGCATGGGTGATGGGCGACTAGTCATTCCATGCCACCAGCATGCTGTCCACATGTAGACTTCCTTCTGGGAAGTGGTGCCTGTGAACCGAGCGTGCCAGAGTCTCAGAGGGCTCTATGAGCCAACTGGTTTACAGTTTTCAGACAGTCTGAGGGGGTGACCCAACCAGCAGCCTGACCAAGGGAGGGATCGGGCCAGGCTCAGGCCAGCCAGCGGCAGCCCCTGGGGAGCTGCAGTGAGTGCAGCCAGTCCTGGGACAGGGACTTGTTCACCTCTGCTCTGTCCACACTGGGAATTACAGAAGACACAGGCAGAACGTGCCATGCAGGGAGCCCTTCCCTGATTTCATGTCCTCTGTGCAAAATATGAGGACCCAGGGTTTTATTTGGGTTGTCCTACGTGGGTATTTAATCCACTGCAAAACCCTTGGTACTAATACTGCATATTGGAAGGGGGCAGCAGAGAGGCCCCAAGTGTGGCGTGGAAAAGAGAAGCTTGGTTGACTGTGGAACAGGGGCAAAGGCTTCTTCAAAGAAGATAGGGAAGAAATGGAGAGGACAGTGAGGTGGACAGGGCCCGGCCATCTGCAGGAGGGGGAGCAGACCAGGGAAGGGAGGCTGGGGGATGGGCCAGGGGCCCTGGGCTTGGCAATCAAGGAGGAGGAAGGCAGGGAAGCTGGGACTGAAAGGTAGAGGTCAGCACTCACTCACCATGAATTCAGCAAGGCCCTGAGTTTGTGCCCCAAGAACCAGATAGGAGAAACCAGCAGGGTGCAGGCTTTTGATTTGGTTCAGAACTATTTGCAAGGATTTCTTTGCAAATGGCAAGGGAGGGTGTGAAGAGGACCCATTTGTTCATACAAGGCAGCATTCACAGGTCCTGGGGATTAAGATGTGGACACCTCTGTGAGACCATTATTCTGCCTAGCACCATGTTTGAAACATCCTTCTAAGGGAGAGTCCTTTTATGACTATTATATTTTTAAAAATCCTGGGGGTTAGAAAGGATAAGCAGCTTGCCCAAGGATGCACAGCGAGATGGTAGCGGAGGGTCAGGGTGGTATCTAGGGAAAAAGCCACTCACCAGACCAGACCGCTGGTTCGGGACCTAGCGGGTTTCCCAGCAGGGCGAGGGAGGTCTGGGGATGTAGTTATAGGAAGGAAAGTTCCCCCCAGCCCTCTATCCCAAGCCCAGCAGTGCTGTAAGCACCCCATTCATGCCAGCCCCAAGAGCACCCAGCACTACCTTCCTGCCTTTGGACATGTAACCCTCCCGAAGGCTTTGGAGGCCAGGTAGGGGTGGGGTGGGAATGAAGGCAGCTGTGAAGCCACTCAGGAAAAGCGGGTCAGTGGTGGGCAGAGAGGGGTCTGGTCAGCCTTTGTGGAACACTGAGCAGGAAAGACTCAGTCATCTCCCTGGGCGCATCACTGTGACTGCAAAAGGCTAGGTGGGGCTCGGGTATTACCACACCCAATTCCCCAGAGGGGAGCACTTAACGACAACCAGGAAATGTGGCAGAACCCAAGTAGGATAATGCATGAGATCAGTTACATGAATTTTAAGTTATAGTTCTGTTTTTGTTCTTCAACTGTACTTTTAAAAAATCGCAAGTTTCATCAGGATAGAATTAAGAGGAAATAGAAGAGGGGGAAAAGAATACCGTTTGCGCCCTCTAGTGGAGATACCTGCCAATTACATAACAGACATTACAAGCCCTTCTACCTATCCCACCTCCCCCACCCCCCACCCCCACCACACCCCCACCATCCCATCCCTCACATCACCATTTCAACCAGGCCACACCATGATTGGGACTGGGCTATCACAGAAACTAGGTGGTGGAACTGAAGCTTGAGCCACCTCCAAACCAGAGTCTAAACCAGAGTCCTGAGTCAGGCAGAAGGAACCAGGCCCCAGAAAGGGGCTGGGATTCAAGGACCTTAGGTCTTCTCACTTGATGGCTTCTGCCCAGACAGTTAGTTGCCTGGTAAGATCTTTTGATTTGGATTAAGACAGATAAAGATATAGATATAGATAGATATAGATGTTTGGTGTTCACCCTAGTTCTGGACACATAGCTCCTAAAACCCTCAGAATTTCCTAAGTAAAGAGAGTGGTAAAGGTGTCTTTTGTTATGTTAATGAGAAGACTTTTGGCATGTCCCCCAGGTCATCTAAGGATGGACACTGGTTGTCAGGGGAACCAAGCAGGTGTTTAGAAGATAGGAGCTTTTAGGTAGACCTCCGGGTAGGGAGAGAGGCTGAATATTGAGTTCAGTCACCAATGGCCAGTGGTTTAACCAGTCATACCTATGTAATAAAGCTTCTATTAAAAAAAAAAAAAGAGAGAGGGTTTGGAGACCTTCCAGGTTGATGAGCACATGGAGATCTGGGGAGGATGGAGCACAAAAGGAGGGCAAGGAAGGTCCGCGTGCCTTCCCACATACCTTGCCTTAAGCAGCTCTTTCCATCTGGCTGTTCCTGAGTTATATCCTTGTATAATCAACGAGTGATCTAGAAATGAAAATGTTTCCTTGAGTTCTGTAAGCCACTCTAGTAAATTAGTCAAACCCAAGGAGGGGATTGTTGGAATCTCAGATCTCTGGCCCATTGGTCAGAAGCACAATGTGACCTTGCCATTGGCATCTGAAGGCAGGGGGAGGGGAGCTGTCTTGTAGGACTGAACCCTTTGCCTGTGGGATCTGACATTTTCTCCAGGTTAGTGTGAAAATAGAGTAAGTTGTAGGATGCCCAGCTGGTGTCGGGGAATGGCTGGATAATGTGGGGAAAAACCCACATACGCTATAATTAGTGGTCAGAATTTTATCTGGCAAGCCCCACTGCCTCCCGGCCCTTTGAAAGCTGTCTGCCCCTTGCAGACTTGATCTTGTTGGGTTCCCTATCCTGGCAAAGCAGGCATCCACCTCAGGCCAGGTTTAGTCCTCCCTCTATATACACAGGAACGGAGTGAGGAGTGGAGATGCCTGCTTTGGCACGGTGGACAGAAAGAGTTGCTAAATCCACAATACCCTTGTGTCTAATGGAGCAAATTAGGTCATCGATAAAGCAAGGGCAACTTGTCTCAAATTTTCTTCTTCCGGTATTAGCCTAGTGTTACCAAACGGAGGCAGGGCAGCTGCCTACAGGGATTTAGATGGGAGCCCCAAGTCATTCTGGTGAGTAACCGCATGACTGCCACGTCTCCTCCCTCACTGGTATGTCTTGCAAGAGCCCTGATTGCAGGAGAAGCCCACTCAGGCTAACTCAGGCAAAGGGAGAATTGGCCAGAGGTCATGGGGCCACACAGAATCATCAGGAAGCTGGGTTGCTGACTGTGGAAGGGGCAGGCAGCGGGGCTACTCAGTGGTCCTGGAGGCAGGAACAGAGAGCAGGTCAGTGCTGTGTGCTAGAAAGGTTGAATCCCAGCGGACTCCTCAGTCCTGGTGTCGCTTGCTCAAGTCCGGACATTTGTGTTTGTGTTTTGGCCATAAGCCTGCACCTGGTGACCTTGGGGTAGTAAGGAAAGGTCTGTCTACTGGAGTAGACATCTGGACAGACCCGCCCACCAAGACTTCACACAGAGACAGCAAGGAGCCCCTAAAGGGATCCTGGTCCCTTCGGGAAGGGAGGGGAGGAGACTGTCTCCAGCAAACATTATTGCACCAGACACAGTCCATGGTTCTGTTTTCTCAAGGGCCAGGGGTCGCATCATTGGCCTTGGCCTCTCTGCACAACCGCACCAGGCCCCGTGACGGGATGCCTTTCCAGGTGCATTTCCTCCCCCCGGGGTGCAAGGACCTCAGCAAGGGGGCTGAGGATAACCCTTTGTGGGACATGAAGAGCTGCTGCCCTGAATCTGAGGGGGCAGAATAAGGTGCGATCTTCTTGAGCAGGAAGGCAAAGAGGATAGAATAATGGCTGCTCTGAAGTCTGGGCCCTGTTCCCATGACTGAACGCCTGTCTGCTTTGGGCCCGCAGACTATCTTTCTCAAGATAAAGTGCTGGAGACTCTGATGGAGGCCGCCC